GGCCCTGCCCTCCCTCGGCAGGCCGCGATCAGGGAGTTCTTTTCCTCGGGCGTAAATCTCGCGTCTCGTCCTTTGCGTGACACTTCTGTCCTCCTCCTGCGTATCCGTCAGCTGGTTTGCCTCACACATTTTGGGCTGAAAGCTTGTTTTCCGTTGTTTGTCTAAGCAGCCTGTTCCAGTGATTCACAGTCCTGTACAATTTTAGCATCCTAGAACAGTTTAGGTTGGAAAAGACCTGTAAAATCACCAAGTCCATCCGTTAATCTGACACTGCCAAGTCATTGTGAAAAGCGCCAATCACTTGGGCTTTTTTTAAATTTTAAAAGTTTAATAGTAATAAAATGGTTATAAAAATAGTAATATTTGAATTAGGACAATATGAGACAATAGAACGAAAGAGTTACAGATGTCCGGGTACATTTTTCTGGGCAGCACAAGCCCGAAAAAGGACCCCCTTTAACAAAGGATTAACCCTTAAAAACAACAGCCTGTTGTATATTTATACACTTCATACATGATGCATAAATTCTATTCAAATACAAGATTCTGTCTGGTCATGGTCAACAACTTCCTCTGAATCCTAACAGCGCCTTTGAGGCAGGAAGAAGTTCATTTCTTCTGATAATGGGGCAATAAATTATTTTTTCTCTGAAAAATTTAGGTGTCTTGTGGCTGCTATTTCGCTGCAAGCCCTTTCTTTAAAAAAGATACTTTTAAAAAAAGTATCTTACATAGCATAGTTTCTAATTTAACATTTTTTATAACTTAAAACTATATTTAACACAGTACTTAAGAGAATTAATACAGCATTACTTTCTAACACAACACATATAATATTCATTTTAATATTTGAGAAAAGCCAATCATAAAATGCATGCATTTTTCACACTTTCTAACACAACACATATAATATTCATTTTAATATTTACAAAAAGCCAATCATAAAATACGCATTTTTCACACTACTAAATCATGTCCCCCAGTGCCAGGGCTACACCTCTTCCAGATTTTTCCAGGCATGGCAACTCCACCACTTCCCAGCCCAGCCTGTTCAATTCTGGATCACAACTGGCATCAGATCAAAGTGGTGGCAGCAGGAAAGTCATTCTGTATTTCCTACCTGCCTTTATTAACCTAAAGGTCTAATCAAACTGAAGAGTCATCTTCTACTAACAGGAAATTCACCTATAAATTTAAATAAGGCTGTAGGAATTTTCACAATGATCAAATTCATTTATTCAGCCGTTTACCTCTGATGTAAATGCAGCTCCCCACAGCCACACTGCTGGTTTCTATTTATATTGAGGAATATGAAGGTGCCATTGAGTTAAGGCTCCTGAGATTTGTGGAGATGATGAGACACAAAGAAGCAGGAGTAGTTTATGCACTTTTTTTTCCATAGTATTTGTCCTGGCCTATCTGACTGGATAAGTAACAACTCCACTCAGACAACAGCGAGGTTTACACAGATGGTTGGATGTCGCCCAAGGCCCCTGCACAGAATCACAGACATTAAAGAAAGACCACTAATCCTCCTACCTACATATTTATGTCAAATTGCAGGCCTCTTCAAATAATAATTATTTGCTAGTAATATTATTTTTTTACTTGGGAATAGAACTCACAATCAAAGCATTAATTTCAAACAAGGAAAAAAATCTTGGTTTTGCTCTGTACAGTATTTTAAAACCTGTGTTTACATTGTATTTAATTGAAATGCCTATGCTATTTGGTTAAGTTAAAATCAAGGGGTGAAAGTGTTCTTCCTTTTTTCAAGTATCCTGGATGATAATTCTGGAGAAAGGAATATAAAATCTGCAATTAATTAAATTACCAAATAAGTGAGTTGACTTGATGAGTGGGTTGACTTGGCAGGATGCCAGGTGCCCACCAGCTGTTTGTTTTTTTTTTTCCTCACTTCCCAGCCTCAACAGAAGATGGGGAGAAAATATGATAAGCAGTTCATGGATTGAGATAAGGGCAGGGACATCACACAACAATTAACATCATGGGCAAAACTGAATAAATTTGGGGAAATTAATTTAACTTTTTGCCAATTAAACAGAGTAGGATAGAAAGACATAATGACAAATCTAAATCCACCCTCCTTTTACTTTTCCCTTCTCCCCAGCTCAACTTCCCTCCAAACCCTTGCACCTCAATGTCCTGAGTTAAGCCACAGTTTCTTTTAATCAGTACATACATAGGTCCTGTTTGACAAATCTAGTTCAGCTACAGGACTTCTTCTCCAAGCAGGTAACTTCTCACTTGTGATGAGCACAAAAGTAGAATTCTCTGTACACCAGTGACTGAAAAGCTCTCAGAATGTGTTTGATTTTCTCTTGAGAAGAACAGGGTTTTGTGTGACTCAGGGCTAAATTATTCAGGAAGACAGTAAGCAGCACTTTGGAGCATGTTTGCAACACACTGGTCCTCACCTGGTGGTCTGGCACACACAGGGCAAAGCTAGGTGCTGAATATGTTATTTGCTATGTTCTTTATTTTTGCACAGTTGTTGGGTTTTTTTTCTTTTTAAAATTATGTACCAAGAGTTTTCAGCAGCACAAGCCTGAAATCCTAGCATGAAGCAATGTACATGCCAGAGATAATATAAAGAACCATATTACAAACAGAACATTGGAGATGAGAAGAAAAAGTCACCTCTGGCATGACTGTCATGAAGAAATTCAATTTACCATTCAGTTCAATGTATTACAATTTTATTTGTTGCATGTGTAAAACAACACAATATGTATTTCTATATAATGACAAAAATAAGCTTTATAGCATTATTATTACAATACTAGCATTTATAGCATTATTAATACAGAAGTTTTTTGAACATGTCTTGACTTTATCCATATATACAATCATGTAAGGTGCTCCAACCCCAGAAAACTTATATACATGGACAAAGCTGTTGAAATGCTGCAGCTTAGAGTCTCAGCTGGTGTTAATCAGCTGATTGATACCCACTCAGAATTTAAACCTATGTATTTTTATTTATTTCCTATTGAATTACCTTTTTTTCAAATATTATTTTTTCATTTTATTTTTCTATGGTTCTAGTTAACATAGTCACCAGTGCAAAAAAGGCTTTATGTTTGCACTAAAGTACCAAAAAACTCTCCCCCAAAGAGCACACAATTTGCAGGACAGGACATGAACTCACAAATAAGAAATTCACTGAAATACATGCAATTTCTAATAATAACAATCTTCATTACTGAAACACACTCTCAAATACAAGAAGAAATGAGAACAGGAACAACTTTATTGATATAGAAATGCCAGAGATAGGGGGGAAAGAAGCAGCATGAGAAACCATCAAAAAGGAAACAATATAAATAGAGTACCAGTTTTGCTCAGTGTATATAGAAATGTGCAAAGAGCTTTACAAAATAGTGCAGCCAATTCATAAAAATGTACATCAAAAAGCAGATTTTGCAGAACTGGACTAAGTGGTCATAACCTGTATTCTGTACCATGCAGTTTATTCCATGTAACTTAAATAATAGATGGTAATATAAGGTGCTATATTAAAGGGGAGTAAATGTTTAATCACTGGGGACAAAAAAACCCATAAAATTCTATTTGTTTTCTCTGTTAGTATATGTGTCAGTTAATCACTAATTAATAAGTGCCTTTACTGTGAGAGAATTATATTCCACAGTTATAACTATAACTACATGGTTATACTGTAGTTAACCAGAAGCTGCAAATACTCATTACCTCTGAAACACTGAATTTACACATTTAGGTTGGAAATTTTTTTTTCAGTTTTTCACCATAAAAATCCTGTCTTCAATTTTTTATCCAACAGGAAGAAACATATGATTGTTCCTCTTTTCAGAGAAAAAAGATGAGGCCTGTTTTTATGTCCATAGGAATATACAGAAGGGAACTGCCAAAGCCAGCCATGCTGGTAATTGACTAGAACTTTGTTAATTCAACATCCACAAATATCAAGGAAATCAGATCTTAATAGATCCCAAGCATTTTATTTTTAGTCCTTGAACTCCAATTCAGAAATTGTCCCAGGAGTTCCCTCACTCCAGATCAGAACAATTCTAATTTATAGTTTGTATTTATTAACAGACATATTATAGGAATTAATTGTACACCTTTTTTTTCTTTCAATCTCAATCAGATTTTGCTTTGATAGTTTACAGTGAACTAATGAGTTTACAGTGAACTTTTCTAGTTTTCAGCATAATTGCTTTGATGACTGCAGGGTAATTACAGTCTTAGTCTTTTCTCTCAGGATGGGATTTAAATTTCCAGATTATTATTTTAAGAGATTATTTAAACACTAAAAATCTTTATAATCCTTTATTTTGTCATTATTTTAGTAATGGACCTTTTATGTTAGGCAAAAATAGATAACAAAATATTTACATGTTTTACAGATTGATATTTACTCTCAGTTGTCTCTGTACTTTAAATAAAGAGGAATTATTTGACACAATACTATTCAAGTGCATTAACTACAAGTAAATATGAGGATAAGTATAATAAATACTGTTTTAGTTGCATAGTAAATCATTATCGCAGGTACTCAGCCACTATCCAAATCCATTATCTTTGATAGCATGTTGTAACAAGAAATTAATACATAAAATATGAGATTACATCATTTTTATATAAAAAAATTCACAGGAATTGCAGAACATTTTTCATTATTGAGATAAGATACTACAAATATAGCATTTCTTTGTGTGATTTCTTTCAGGTAGTCACCAAGAAGTAAGGCCTCACTCACATTTGATAAGAAGAAAAATAAAGCTAAAATTCATTGTATTTTGGAGGAAGAATACTGTCAAATCTGTTATATTTTTTCCCCACAGGAGTGTGTAACCATGGCCATAAGGAGGTATCCAAGAGTTCAGTGCTGAAGAGCTGATGAAAATAAATTGGAGGAGGAGGAAAAATGAAAACTGTTATTGACTTTATTTCAAAATGAACAGAAGTAACAACTCTGCTTTTAAGTTTTTAATTGAAAGAGTGCAAGAGACAAGCATGTTTTGAACTGTGGAAGGTCCTGTTGTGCAGTACCCTGTGTCAGCCTGTGTTTAGTTTCGTCCTGCCACGCAACAAGTGCCAAGTTCTCTGCTCCATCCTGTTGCCCCTGCTTTGTTAACACTGAAAATGGCTTTCAAAACCAGAGTGAGCTTTCAAGCTCTGATGTTTCAGCCTTACATAAACAGTTCCACTGCCCTTAAGAAGTGCCACATGTGGCATCCCCAGCATGGCACGCTGTGAGTAGGACATTTTGTCACCATAGGCAAAGTGATCAAATGCCTGAACTCCTTTCTAAAATGCTTTGTTCTCAGAATTAACACCCTTCTTCTAAGAGCTGAAAGAAAGGTTTTCCAAGTTGTGTCTGCAGCTGTGCTGATGCCTTTAGATCTCAGAAACTGAACTGCGCTCAACCAGGAAACTGATGAAGAAGGCTGTTCTAGCCACACTATAAGGAACACAAACTGGGCACAGCTCCACTTGGTTCCTTCTTTTCATTTTTAACTGAAACTTTTAACTACAAAGTAAAGACACAAAGGAAATAACAGAGCCAGGACTGGGATGACCAACTCCAAGTACAAATAAATCAGTGCTCTTCTTTTAAGGGTTTGAGCTGCAGCGAGGCTTAGAAATGCTTGATAAACAGAAACTGGAGTGTGAGGATGAGGAAAAAGAATCGGGAATAGAAGAATCTCTAAGTGTTTTTCAGATATTCTGGACCAATTCCTGTTGATGCTGCTTCACTGCTTCGGTGGAATGCAACCAGCTCAGAGCAGTACAGCACCTGGTCCTGCTCTTCAGTTCACACTTGGGAAAAGGAAGACTTGTTTTGCCTGTTACTGAGAAACATGTTTTCTCTGGGCTGAAGCACAGCAATTGTTAACAGCTTATACTATTTAGACACTGCTGCCAGACAACAGAAGGAAAATACACAATCCAAAAGGAATTGAAGACATCAAAGTGGAATAATTTACAGTGAAAATTGGCAAGGGTCCTGTAGCGAAACTTTCTTTTAATGAAAAGTCCATGGAACCTTTCTGATATGTTTGGACCCTTTTCCATAATAGGACTCATTCCCAAAAAAATATGGAATTCTTTCTAAACTTAAACATGTACTCACCAATTGTTCTTTATTTCTTATTATGTCTGTGGAGGAAAAAAAAGAAGAATACATTTTTGTATGTCTTGATTTAAATCTTTAAATCAAGTTTCTTGTAAGTATTGTATATTATCAGTAGGTCCTGTTTGACAAATTCAGCTAAGCTGCAGGACTACTTGTTTGAGCAGGTAACTTCAACTTCTCACTTGTGATGAGCATAAGAGAGGCATTCTCTATATACCTGCTGCTGAAGAGCTCTCAGAGTGTGTTTTTCTCTTGAGAAGAACAGCTTTGTTATGACTCAAGGATAAGCTATTCAGGAAGAGGGAAAGCAGCACTTTGGGGCATGTACTTGCAACACACTGGTCCTGACCTGGTGGCTTTGGTAGAACCAAAGTTTTAGAGACTGTAGGCATAGCAACAAACTGATACATCATCTGTCAGAAAGTGGGGCTGTCATTGCACTGGGGCTGTCCAGGTTGTGCCTTGCTGTTTGTGACTTCCAGTGTACCCAATTCAAAGGCTGAGGTCTGCCAGATTGTCTTGGTGCCCTTGGCATACGCTGATGTCCTGAACCCTGACAGCTTCAGAAACAAAAAAGATCCTCTTGAGTTTAACTTTCAGCCCATAAAAATTCAGATGAGCCCAAACTTTTTAGTCTTAGAAACATTTTGTATTTTAAACATTTAGAATTTTGTGGTGCAAAAAAAGGTGAAAGAATGGTAATTCACAAATCTAGCACATCCATACTTGCTTTCAGCATGAAGGCCAATGCATGAGCTAATGGTGCATTGGGTTAGAAAGGCCAAATTATATCAATTCTGTAGCCCCTGGAAGCTGGTGATGTGGCAAGCATCACAATTAGCTGGTTTTGGGGTTTTTTTCCAGTTGAAAAAAAAGGCTAAGTCTGGTGGCTTTGGAGTGGACTTCAGTGCAAGACTTGAAAGTGCATCTCTGGAATCTTAAATTCCACTGCTTGGACTGTGTCTGCATCATGTCATGGCAGATTAGGTTTACCTCCCTTTTCTGCTACAACATTTATTGCACTTTATGAAAAGGCAGGTTTTTGAATTAACAGAGTTTCTATGAATACAGATCAGTAACTGGAAAAGCCAAAAGCTCCATCAGTAACTTCAGACCCCACCTTCTGTCTTCTGACTTGAAAAGAACAGGAGGAATCTCCTTTCTCTTCTTAATATAAAATTTCTAAATTTCTTTTCTAAATTTCTAAATTACTTACCAAAATTTAGTTGTTTTGAAAAATGTATTGAGACTGAAGAAAGCGGACACAGCAGTATCTTGGGACAAAAGAACTGTGAAATTAAGATGCAAAATGCTGTAATGGATTGAAGGCTACATTTGTCCCCATTTGACCATATAATACTCTTATTAGGATCAGTAAGACCCATGGATATACATTCAAGGAAAGAATTTGTTCTTCAGGTGTGACTTAGTAAAAAAAATTATGTTGGAAATAAAGAAATTCTATACTTACAAACTAAAATCATCAGCAACAAAGTGGCAAACAGTCCTCCCATAAAATATCTGAGAACATAACAATACCCAGAAAGGTTAAAAAAAGCCAAGGGATGCATATTGAGTTAAAAGAGGTGAAACCTGAGTGGGAGGAGGAGGAAGGGTTCTTGCAGATGAACCCTCTGAACTCTGGTAGGTGAACTGTAATTTGAAACTTTAAATTACGTAAACTATTGAAGATAATCTCCTGGCAAGAAAGACCTCAGCATTCAGACTGAGAGAAAAATCCACTTAGAAAGACATGGATCCATTCTGATTCTTCTCAGCCTGCCAAAACCCATGTCAAAGCACACTTGGCAAAGTAGCTTTCATTTCTGCATACATACTTCTTATTTTTGTGCATATCTGTATAGCTCAGATATTTGCCTGCATTGACTATCATGTGAAAATACATTTTCACAGTAAGATACATATAACTTTGAAAATGTGACCCTTAAATTAAGTTTTATTCCCCAGTTGAAATGAAGCAAGCACTCATGTCAGAAACAGAAAATAAAAGAAATAAAAATTACCTTGTACATACTGAAATGATTAAACACATGATCAGTGCAACCATCTGAAAAATGACATTTTGCACTGTCCTGGATTCTAAAATAAAAATCAGGAAAATAAAGGGTTTTAATGAAAGTAAATATTTTACAGGAGGTGTTTGCAAAGGCTACCTTCAGCCTGTGAGACCGGGCTCTTCAGCTGCTTCTAAAGAGAACTTGCCTGGAGTGATTCAAAGCAGAAACCTAATTTTCATGCTCTGGGTGTCTCTCAGGAGTCTTTTTCCCCCACAACTACAGAAACACTGTGCCCTCCATGCTCTCAGAAAACCAGCCTTTCTGCATAATTGCCTGTTTTAGTTTTTGCTCCCATGCCCTTTCCTCCATTTTCCTTTTCACTCCTCTTTTCTTTTTTTTTTTTTCTGAAAAATGGGTGAGGGAAAGATGTGAACAGGGGGTAGTAATTGAATATAATTTTTAGGATTTTGTTATTTTTAATCTTTTATATAAATATATGTTTTAGTAAATAAATTCTATTCTGCAAGGGGCCAGATCCATATTTTTAATGTATTTTCACTTCACTCTTAAAATGAGGCATGCCAGAATAAGAACATAACATACCTGCATTGCTCCAATTCTCTTCATTTGCATTTACCATAAATGAAGAGCAGGATTTTGAAGCACAAAATGGTTCCTCAAAATTAAGAAACTCATCATCTTTGGTGAGAAATGCTCCATTAGATGCTGGAATTTGCCTTTGTGACACATGGTTATTATATTCAGAAGAAAAGTCTGAATCACCTACAAGAAATGCATGTATAACTGAGATTGCACAGAAGAAGAGCACTGAGACTTTGTAATAATGAATTTAGGAATTAATTACTGAATCACAGGAGAGGTTGCAAATTGTTATGGGTAGGGAATTGGTGGGTTCAAATGTATGCAGGAGGAAATATGCAGAGTAAAGACAAAATTGCATAGGGCATAACAGATGAAGTTATTGAAAGAGCCAGGTGAAAGCAGACAGTGCCAGGTATTAATTACACCAGAATAAACATTCCTGGTGATGACTTTGCATTCAAATTCAGTCAAAAAATGACTTTTTGGCACAGAGGTCTTTGCAGACTCATACTCAGTTGTAATGCCAGGAGCTCTATTTATCCCTTAGAATTCTGTAGCTCATTCTGTTCTTTACCTGCACACCTTGGCAGACAGCACCTGCATAACTTCCAGAAAGAGATGCCCAATTCACACTAAACACAGACTGCAATGTTGTACCTTGATTACCAGGTGCCTGATCAGGGCTTACCAACATCACTGTGACTGGCTTCTAGTTTACTGCATCCATCAGGCCAAGGATCCTCTACATGGGAGAAATCCATCCTGCTGGGAGTGGTGGAGCTGAGCCATGAGCTGGTAGCACTGAGGTTGAACAAGCTGTCAAGAGAGCGACGGATTTTCTTCCTTCGCCTGAATACCCTAGAAAGAAAAGATGTTGCCAAGGAATAGAGTTAATTATTCTTGTTGAGCAGGGACAGAGCTCTAAAGCTTGCAGGAATGACATGAAAGAACCAAGTTCTGGGTGCTGCTCCTGGCCCTGATCTTGACCCTGGGCACGTCACCAGGAGTGGCTGCTGCACACCACAATGTGTCAGGGAATGTATTAACAGCAGGGCTGATCATGCTCTTGTGATACTGGGCACTGTGGTACCAAATGATATCACAGCTACTGCTCTCTGATAGTACTGTGAGTGCTACCTGTGATTTTCACTGCTGTATCTGATTTAGGATAGTCTAAATCCATTGAATTCCAGGTTTTTTGAACTACATTTTACATACCTTTCTAAATTGTTGCTGTTCTGAATCATGAGATGTTTTTCCTTGAGTAAGAATTCTAGGACCAGACCTTTTTATTTTATATATATGTGTGTGTGTGTTTTAGACAAAGATATTTATATATATATATATATATAAATTTTTCTTAGTCCTTATCAGTGTAACATCCCATTGGCAAAATGAGCTGTAGCTCTCTCCTTTTCCTTTATTGGACCCAACTCCAATTATACCAACAACTCTGCACTAAAGAGTTTTTAGGTAGTAAGATGTGACTGAAAATCAAGTAATTTCATTCACTGCATTCTCTAAAGCAATTGGATGTTCCCAATCAGAAGTAATGCTGGTTTTATGCCGAGCAAAATGTAGACAGACACAGATAGACCTCTAGGTAAGGCCAGAGATGTGGAGGCAATTGCCAACATGGAGTAAAATCTGCACATAATTCACTTACCGAACTAAATTCTCTTTATATGTAACACTGGTGTGGGATGGTGTCAGTGTTATGTTGCCCTCTTCACCAGACAGAAAACTGTCCTCTGTCAAAACATAATAACCATTGGAAAGCAGTCGAGGGCTGCGGCGGCACGCAGGAATGGAGCCTGTCAGAGGGTTTGTGGAGCACTCATAGGCAGGGTCGTCATCCAAAAAGGCACAAGCACAACTGAAAAGGAGAAATGAAAGCCTCTAATTTAGGGAAGGTCTGGACAGGGCAAACCCATGATTTAATTGTAATGAATTTACATTTCAAGCTGATGGAGACTGGTAGTGACATAGATTTAAAATACATGGACGTAATGATATTACTCTGTACTGGGGGTTTCAGCCAGCTGACGTGTGCATCACATGTTCCAGAGCTTCAGATTTCAGGAGGGATACATGCCAGGGGAGCATTTCCTGAAGCATGGAGCCAGCTTGAGCTCAGAAGTGCTCAGTGTGTTTCTGTGGCAGTGCTCTTGGCCAAGGATCCTGCTGGACCTACACCGACCTGAGCCATCAGAGGCATTCCAGTATTTGGCTTCTCTGAGTTCCTCTACATGGCACAATCTGGGTGCCCCTGAGCTAGGCAGGATTTACTTGCTTTTTTATAAACTGGCCATACTTGGTGAAGATTTGAGGATGCATGACTTTTAATTCTCACAAATCCTAGAATGCCATGCAGCTGGAACAACATGGGATAAAGCCCACACATTGTGATAGCTCCATCCAGCACTGAAACACAATTGACATTGGGATTAAACACAGCACAGAAAAATATATTCTCAGGTGTTTAAAGTAGAAGGGAATAATGACAGAGGTGAAAGGATCTAAAAGTTGTAGACATTTTACTTAGTTAGACTAAAATTTAATTTATGGTTATACCTTTCCCCTTAACACCTATGAGTTCCAAACTGCCATGTAGTGACATCATGGAAAGAAAGGAAGACACCAGATTGATTTAGTGTCTGACCTGTGTTTCAGTAAGAGGTTTAACTACCCCATATGGCATGTCACAGAGAGATACCATAATTTCAGTGTAGGGAAAAGCAGATGGAAGAGAGATACTCCAAAACCCTGTAATTGCAAAGCCAGTGTTTCCAACCTCCACAGCAGTACTTCTGAATTTCCATTTAGGGCAGTAATTAAATTATTATCAGCACTACATTTCTCAGCGGCCCAAAAGGGACTTTTACAAAATCTATGCCAAAACACAAAAAAAAATTAAGCAAGTGTAAATTTTCATAATACCTTGGAAAAATATGTCTTGAGGGGCTGTATCTGTGCTCTTCATTAAATGGTGTTGAACCTGCAGAGGCAAAGGTGAAACAAGAAGGAATTTTTATCATATTCACTGTCAGATAGCTTTTGCATACCAGGAAGATAGTTTAAAAAGTGCTAAAAATGAAAAGAAAATTAGGGAAGAATTAGAGGAGAGGAGACAAAACATATGAAGGAACTGGGGAAAGACTTAGTGTTTATAGGAAACTCATCTCAACCAGGACAACACAGAATCAGAGCCAGCCGAAATCAGATATTTGTACTCTGCCCAAGCAACAGACTTGAGAGAAATAATTATGGACACAAATAAAATAACTGCAGTAATTTTAAGCTGTTTTATCAGAAATTTCCTTCATGCCAAAGCTAGAACCTGAACTGCCACTAGATACAGAGTAGAATGGAAAGGCCACCATTACCACTACATTATATTTTTCAGATGAAAATTGCAGACACAGAACAATGAGCACAGGCATTGCTACAGTGACAAATATTTGACAGTAATATTGTGGCAGGAGACTAAGGAAATAGGATTTGTCTGGATTACCATGGCTCAAGTGTGCAAAGTGCTGCTGGATGTTCTGCACCTGACAGAATCAATCTTACAAAATATGAGCAAGGCCTAAGCATTGGGAGAATTTGTCTATTATTCCATAAAAAGATAAAAGATATATCTTTCTCTATATTACCTTGTCTCTCCTGAATCTTTAGAGCTTCAGACTTGCAACACTGTTAGTACATGCCTATCATTCACCTCTGAGAGGAGAATTTTTTAGTTTTGTGTTCAGTTATGAGCTGAGGCAAAGAAAGGACATGAAGGTCAGGGTTTCCACTTTGGTAATCTTGTTTAACCTCCTTGGGAGCTCAGTTGTCAGTCACAGACTGGGTGTGAAGGCTGACTCAGCCTTGGGACCAGGCAAGGCGATGAAAGAAGTAAAACCTTCAGGATATTTTTCACAAATCAGTCCTATTACCTTGGTCCCATACATACTGCTTCTCCTACCCTTTGGGGAAAATAAAATCACTTTACCATGAATGAATTATGCTGTAATGGCTGCAAAAATAACTTGAGGAAGAGAAGATAGAATGATTTTGGGGGAAGGTACAGAGAGATCAAGAAGCATCAGTCAGAGCACCACAGAGCAAGTTGTACAAACAGTGGGACCAGGGGTGTATTTCATAGTTTGACATGTATTAGAGCTATTTTTAACATACAACTACCTCCTGAAATAATTTCTCTTATTTTAGACCAAATCATGATTCTTAAATGTGTAAAAAATCTTATATTCAAAACCAAGAAATGCATTCAAACTCTAGAAGAAGATACAGGAAGCACTCAACAAGCAGTTTGTAGATCTGGATATAAACCAAAACCAGCAAAATGCTAAGTCTTATCAGTCAAAAAAGATTCCCTCCAAAAGGTATTTATTTCTGTTAAAACTCTGACAAATGTATCCAAATTTATTTGCTCCTGGAGTTGATGCAATATGTGATGTTCCATACATCTTGAAAAGGACTGTTTCATACACCCTAGGGTAACAGGGAATATAGATTAGTTTTAAAAGAGTTTTAAAAGAAATGGAAGCATGTTTTATTTTGTCTTGTTTGAAAATCAGGATGTGTAAGATAGTATCAGGAATACAGATCAAATTATTAGTTATAATGTATTCTCACTTAGGCAAAAGTAACTGATTCTAGGGCAAATTTGTTTGAAAAGGATATATAGAAGTAGGTGACAGGATCAGTTATATCTATCACAACTCTTTAATAATCTGAGTGTGAAACTTTCCAGCAACTGAAACCCACAGCACAGCTGTATTGCACACAATTCTTTCAGTGATGAAAATAAAAAGTAGCAATGTCTAAAAAAGAATAACTTTTAGGAGTGGCAGCTTTCCTGTGGGGTGGTGTTTTCACTAGAAAGTGTTGACACATGCTGATCGCAGTGGCAGAACAAACCACAGTCCTTCTGTTCCTCATTTGAATTCTCTCATAACTTTGCAAGGTATGTCTCTGCAGGATGTTTATTTGCCACCCTCCAGAGAAATAAAATTTAAGATAAAATAATATATTTATCTCTATAAAGGAAAGAGAGCAATATACATATGCAGATATACTACAGGGGAGGCAAGGCATTTTCCTCTTTTTGAGAACAGTTAATAAGCAGCTGTAACTTGCTTTTAAACTATTTTAAGTAACGATAATATCTGGCTTCTGTGAACAGTCATGGAACAGGCAGTCCAACAGATATTTTTGCTGCCTGTGATCAGGAAAATTTTTGGCTCACGCATAATGAAGAGAGTTCTTGAAAATAATTCAATCAATGATGTAGAAAACATGGAAATATTATGTTGTAGACAATGCTGCACAGTGTTCTGCTTTCATTTAATATTCAGTCCTATTTCTGTGCTATTAATAGCGTGAGAAGCCATAGTAATGACATAACAAAACAAAGCTTCTCGACCACCACTATACAATGGAGAGTGGTGCTGTGTCTGTACTCCATGAAACGAGCCATCAACACAGCACACTTAAACCATGGCATGAGAAAAAGAGAAGAGCTCTATGAAATCTCACTAAAAGCCAATCTGAGGTGAATGTGGCAACATTTTATGTCATGAATCCAAATAAAAATTTAAGCCAGCAACCCCCCTTGGATTTCAAAACACAGAAAAGTTCATGTTGTAATATAAACAAAAAGTCATTGTGCAAACCAGTCAGTTTTAACTACCTTTCCCTCCAAAAGTCAAATTAGTGTTTAAGCCAATGATGCCTTCAGCTACAATCTAAATATTTACATTAGTACCCACCAAAATATTGTGCTAACTATTCAAATAGCTGAAACCCAGGCAACCAGTTTTATTCTATTTTATCTACCAAACACAAGAGTCTACAAAGCGTTTTATTTGTTCACACACATCAGTTGTTTTTGAAGAGCAGCTTTGTCTTTTCTCCCTGCAGGTAATGGTAGCAACATTCACAAAACCGCGGAACTTCCTGAAGAGCAGCACAGAAATGAACCCAAAGCTTAGCTATTCCTCAGCTGGCAAATATATTAACAGAGAAATAAGTCTAAAATCCTTCAAACCTGGAAAATCCATTTCACAATTAACACATGCGTGCAAAATTTTCTCTTCATCAGCGGGAGAGCCGGTGGGACGGCTGGTGGAGGCTGTTCTGGAGCAGCTTCCTGGGAGAGCTCAGCCCTGGCTCTGCAAGGGCAGCTCCAGCAAGTCCCTGTTTCCTTTCGAAAACAGCCCGTGCAATCAGCGGCACAGAGCCCCAGTGAGGTCACGTTTCCTGTAAAGTCGCCTCACATCACAGGCATTTGTTCTGAAGAGCAAAGCGAAGATAAAGATTAGCCCAGGAACGCTCCTGCCGGCTGTTGCGAAAGAGAAGAACCACTACAAATAACGTCTCGCCCCAATGACCGTGCAGAGAACAAAGACAGAACATTTTCTCATCAGTGACACTGAATTTTGTTTCAGATTTGCTTTTCCACCTCACACAGAAAACTTTCAAGTTGTGTATACAAATCATTCCATTTGTTGAAATACTTGTGAGCCTGGCAGGCTTTGATGTGAGAAAATGATCCAGTTACAAAAAAAAATGATAACAATACATTTTGCAAAAGCACTACTGTACAGAAGATATATTTGGGCAGCGTTCAGAGCTACGTTTCACACTGAAAACATTACTGCAAATATGTGCCATGCAATGTCAATATAAATTCCATAGAAAGGAGGAAGGAATAAAGCCATTTGTAAACATAGTCATTGTTGCATGCTAAATGTTTCATACTCTGTAAGTATGAATACCTATTCATCATACTTTAAAGTATAAAAAATAAAGTCAAATCCACATAAGAGGAATGGATCCTGAATAAGATATCCTGGCAATCAAAGGACTTGGCTACAGAACTATTACATGCAAAAGTAATATATATCAGCTGCTTGACACTGAATTGTACAGCCTTAGGGGGTAACACTTCATCTCCAAATGGATAAAATCATCTAGTAGTTTTCTTTCCTGATGTCTGTATGTATCACTGACAAAAAAATGAAACCATAAATCTAGTAAAATATGATTAATTTTGTGATAGTTTGTGGGTTTCTTTCCCCTTGGAGAAGGAAAAATACTTCCACTGATAAAAACAATGTAAAAAGCTCACCTCCCAGAAAAGGAACAAAAATAGGAATTAAGCAATTGGGATGTTGCAAAAGATCTTCTGTTTGTGAGTTAAACTAAAATGAACATTTTATGATCCTTTTGGTCAAACATGAAAATAGGGACATAGTCCATCTTCACATCAGTTCTTTTAATTTAGTGGAATTATGTCAATGAGGGAATTTAGTCCAGCACTATTTCCTTGGATGCATGGGCTTCATCACAGCAATATTTCCCTGGCCACCCTGCCTCTCTACAGGCAATGAATATAAATTCCCAATGATCTTTAAAACTAGGTCACTTACAGAAGAATTTCTGTACACACAGGAATTTACTCCTTGGGCATATTTTTTGTTTCTTTTCTTATTATTCTCAACAGGAAGAAGTTAATTCCAAGTTTGAACTGCTTTTCTGAAGGACATTGGCATTTCATATTTGTCTATATAGTTAAAATATATTGTGTCTATATCATCATATTCAGGCTTGGAGGTGTTTTCTTTTTTAATCACTGCTATTTGTATCTGAAACTCATTGTTCCACAAGCTTTTGATGCATAAATCTCATGCATTGGTGAATATTTTATAGGTGAGTGCTCGACTATAGTTAATACACACACACACACACGCACACAATGGTTTATATACAGCTTTTTTATTCTTCACTCTGTAGCTCCTCAAATTTCCCATTCCACCAACACACCCTATCTTAACAATAAGCAGGTTTCAAATTTTACAAAATGAGTACACCAACAACTTACTGGCAGTAGTTTTATGCCTGTGGCACACATTACCATTCAACCCACAAAAGGAAGGAAATTAGAAATTACGATACTAAATACCACCCATATTTGTACTCTTCTCCCAGGCTCACTCTGCTTTTGATGCAACAGATTGTGGAGGGCCTGACAGTCCAAGAGAGGTGGGGCTGGGGCAGCTCCATGCCTGAGGTCCCACCAGCATTGAGCCAGTGTTATAGATGGATAATGTGATGATTGGCTCTCGCAGCTAAAAGATAACTATTGTGTGAATATTAATAAAAGCTTTAGTGATGTATAGTTATATTATTGTAGTTTAGATGTCCTCTGTTCTCGCCCCCCCCCCCCCCCGTCTTGTTGCCATCAGGCAGCCGGGGTTGTCCAGGACAGGTACAAAGAAGCTGCACAGGTGTCCCTTGCATGGGCCAGTTGGGAATAGAAAAGCTTGGTGCTTAGGGGGGTGGCATGGCAACACTTGACCTCCAATCAAGGTACAAGAAAGCAGTTTCCACTGATAAATGGCAAAGAAGAGCTGACTGACAGACTTTGGGAAGGGCCAGGGCTGGCTGATGCAACCCCCAGGGGTATAAAAGACTGAGCATCCATCTTGAAGATTAACTGGCCACATGGTATGCATGAGGGGCAGTTCCCAGCACTGCAGCTTTTTCCTTAGTAATCCTTTGTTATATTTTTGTTAAGGTTTAATAAACCTTTTTAAATTTTCCAAGTGAGCAGCTGTCTCTCACACCTGGGAGGGACACACACAGAGTGCATTTGTAACCACATGTTACACACATGGCTGGCAACACAGGCAACAGCCACAGAGAGCACTCCCACAGCACCAAGAGCCTCACTCTTCTCACCCCTCTGGCTGAACAGTGCAGGGATCCTCTAGTGAGGATACACACATCTGCACATGCCCCTCCAGCAGCTGGGCTCAGGAACTCTGCCCAACAGCGGTCCCTGGATCCCAGTCTCACCAGTTGCACCCACCTGGACATTTGAGCTCTCAGCCCACAGCCCAGCTGGTGGTGCAGACCATCACACACACACAGGTACAGCTGGCTGGGACTGCCCAGGGCCTCAGCAGCCCACAGGGAGACACCCCAGCCCATGGGTGTCCCATGCCCCAGGCAGCAATCCTGAGGTGCTCTGGTGTTAACTCATCTGGGTGGGTTCCATGCCTTGCCACGAGGGCTGAGACTCCTCTGGGACAGCGCTGGGAAAGGCCCAGCAGACAAAGTGTCCCTTACTCTGAAATTTTCCCACCTGCCTTTGTGCTCCCAGGCTCCTCTGGCTGATCAGAAAGGTTTTTGATGGGCTGATGCCTCCTGGAATGGGAACAGCTGGGTGCAGGGAATTCTTTGGGCTCCTTCCCCCACTGCTGTGCTCCCACTCCCTCCACTCTGAGACCCCCTGTGAGTGTGCAGATGAGTTTTTAGCTCATATTGCACCATAATTTTGCCATCTCGACAGCCAACTGCAACTCAATGCAGAGTACTGTTCTGCTAAACACACAATTTTGCAACTGCGACTCAATGCAGACTACTGTTCTGCTAAACACACAATTTTCAGGAAGGGTATTTTCTGGTAGAGTGAATTGAGTGGCCGTGGTGGAGAGAGTGGAGTGCTTATTGATTGAATGTAATTGAGAGTAATGTGATGCTCCTGTAACTCCCTTTGAACCTCCTGGAAACCTGACAACCTTTAATTGTCCACCAGCTTCAGTAACCATCAAATCAGGCCATTTTCCTCTATCACAGGTCTGTGTCAATATTGTTTATATAGTACTCAATAGTAAAAAAAAAAAAAAAAATTCTTGATATCTGAAAAATAATTGAAAAAAATTTAAAAATCCAGCAGGGGAAAGGCTGGTCATGAGCATCTCTAAGCAGCCTCACTGGGTCAAAATGAAGGTTTATGAAACTCTCCTTGCCTGCAGTCTTGCTGCAGGGCAAACTAGGACCCATTTTCATTCACCTTTTAAACTAAGTGCATTCCTTTATGCAGCAGAAACACAGCAATATTTGAGGGGCTCTAGTAATTAAGAAAAAAAAACTCACAAAACTAGACATTTTATTTCAATTTTAAGAAAAGGCTAATCCTGCATTTAGTTAGAATTTTGGTGCAGGTTACAGAATTGCCACATCATATATGATTTTAATAACCTTATCAGGTCGGCTGTATGAACAAAGATTAATTTGCCTGAACAAAGATTAATTTGCCTTGAAGTGGAACAAATCCATTTTTGATGTTATCACATGGAAATCCCGTCACACTCTATCACAGACTTTCTGAGTTTCAGGATTGATTTTTGCCCCCAAATTCATTATTTTAGCTTAGTTGTTCTGCAAAACAGGCAAAAAAGGACATTTCTTGGTGGAGTAAAAGGGCATTTCTTGGCATTTGCATGGTGGAGTATAATGAATAGACCTGTAAAATTTGGAATTAGCTCTGAGCTTGCTGATACACCCATACTACTTAGATCTCAAGAGCTTACCTCCAATAATGCAACATCAGCTACCTTTGTATTATACAAGACACAGTCCAGATAGACAAAAACTGTTTAAAAAGGATCTGAATCAAGTCAGCCTGTGATGTACAAAATGAAATGTGATATTTCTCTGTACAAAGCCATGACCAGGCTGTGTTGTATCTCCTTGCTTCTGGATTATATGGTACCATGGAGAAATTTCCTTGGTATCAGAACCTGATGTAGACATGGGAAAATGCCACATCACGATACAAGAGCAGTGTAAAAATAGGCATGGGAAAAATACAAGAAGTGCTTCCATTAGAATCTGTAACTCCCCCACCCTGCATCTGAAAATACTGCTTTAAAACCCATTTTATCAGAAAAAGAAAACAAAAGGAAGAGATTCAAATCCAGCAGCCGAATTTAGAAAATCCAAAGCAGAATTTAGCTAAGGTTTCTAATAAAACATAGGTGAGTCCTCATTGGAGTTCTCCATAAATTTCTTCATAAATTTCTAACTGTTCCTGAACAAGAAGGTAGGAACACTAAAAAAAAGCAACAAACACACAGATCTATGCTAAAACCTGTCTGGCTCGATTTTATAAAGGATGACAAAAGTTCATGAGTCAGCACACTGCAGTGTTTGCTGTGACTACAAGCAGCCAGGGCAGAGTCAGTTGTTGGCCAGTTGTGCTCCAGCAGCATCTGATTTGCAGAGAATAGAAATATTAATGCACAGATCATGGGTCTGAGCAGAGCATGAGTGGGAACAGGTTTAAGGTGATGCATGAGAGGTGTACACCCATGGTTCCTAAGCTCACAGGCCATCAACTTCCTGCACACATCTACATTTTAGGACACACAGACTGAGAGGGAAAGGACAGGGACTAAAATAGCTAGGACAGTGTGGGGACACTCTAAATGTTAAAACCCATCACTATGTGACCAACCCAGGAATAACCCATAAGACATGGAGAAGAC